CTCTCTCTCTCTCTCTCTCTCTCTCTCTCTCTCTCTCGCTCGCTCGCTCGCTCGCTCGCTCGCTCTCCACCCCAAACAAACTACGCGTTGCGCATCCGTGCCCCCACGATGAGTCCATATGTCTCTGAGGCACAAATTGAGACTGAGACTTTTTCCCACTACCATGTTTAATCCACCAGTACTTGGCCCAATTATTGGCTGCGGTGCTTCCCCATTAACGCGCTGCGACTGTAGGGCCTCAAGGTACCGGACCACAATAACTGGATGCGCCAGCCAAAATTGTGGGTGCGGGGAACGCAGCCCTAAGGTAGCCAAATCAGTGAGACTAAGAGCTCGCACAAGAGAGAGAGAGAGAGAGAGAGAGAGAGAGAGAGAGAGAGAGAGAGAGAGAGAGAGAGAGAGAGAGAGAGTTTTCCATTTATTGTTATGAGTGTGGAGGAGAGACAGAGAATGAGAGAGAAAGAAAAAGAAACAGAGAGAGAGGGGGAGGGGGGGCTACCAGAGAGAGAGAGAGAGAGAGAGAGAGAGAGAGGCTGAATGGCAAAATTGAATATGGGTCAAATTGCGGCCGCGATCTATTTCGCAGTTGGAATGATTTTTATAAATTTATTTAGCGTTTTTTTTTGAAAGATCACAACAAAATCCACGAGTACACCAATTTTCAGGTTTTTTCACGCATTTTTCTGAGAGTGAAAACTCACTGAATTTGGAGTACTTTTTAAGTTGGCCCACACATGGCTGAGTGGCAAAAATGGAAAATGTGCCCAATTGGCGTTGCGACTATTTCTCGGTCTAAATGATTTAAAAAAAATGTTATAATATTTTTTCTAGAAAGAACATGACCTCATATATGGATTCTCAAAATTTCAGATTTTTCTGCGAGTTCCTCCGAGCACAGAAAATCGCCAAAGGTGCCTCTTGCAAAAAGCATGTTTCGTTGTGCCTGACCTCCCTGTTTTGAGAAGACGGGCCTCAACGCGTGGGCCTGAGGGCCCTCACCCCACCCCCACTTCTTTTTGGGGTCCACTTCCACCCGAGGACCAGTAACGACCATTTTGTCAAAATGGACATTTTTTATTTTTTGTAAAACGCTGGACCCTCAGGAATAACAAATTTTTACAAGTTTTGGGCCAAAAAACTCGGTTTCAATTTCGTTCAAAAAATAAAAGTTGTCCATTTTGACAAAATGGCAGTTCGGTTCTTGTTTTTTCCAAAAGTCCCGGTCATTCCAGAGTTGCCTGTAGGTAGTCCCCAATTTTGCCAAGGACCGGTTCCCCCCAAACTTTTGCCCCTTAAAAACCCACTTTGCGTCCTGGTCGCCCGCCGCCGAAAATGCGACACCTTGACGCAGACGCCGAAGCCCACTATACCGCAAATTTAGGGCTGCGAACAAAATCAAATCGGCACCCCGGCGGTTCAACAAAACTTGGCGTGCAGGGGGCCGGACGACTCGATATTGGTAGTTGGGCCAAGTATTGGTGGTTTAACAGATGCCTTTGGGGCTTCTCCGGGAATAATCGGCTAATTTGGGATGCTTGGGTGATAGTTTTCTCAGCCCTGGACACTTTTTGACCCACCCCTCTTTGCTCAGCTTTCCCCACTTACCCCTCCCCCGTTATCTTGTTTGGTCCTCTCTTACCTCATTTTGTTGTCCTACCCTTTTTCTCCCATTATTCCCTGCCTCTGATGATTTTGCCTCCTACTTTTGACATATGGACCTTGCTCTTTGAGCCTTTTTCATTCCTCATAAACCTCTTCGGTCCTTTTAGGAATCTAGTTGTATGATAACTTGTATCTACCCTAATTTGCAGATTTGTTCCTTCCTTCCCGACCCCTGATTGTAACCCGAAGATTACTATGCATCGACATGTTTTGATCCCTGTTCAAATCTGAAAGACTCATTCACCATGTCTACTCGTTCTTACTCGGTGCGGAGTCGGGTGGTTAAGAATATATTAATAGCTTGACTACTTTTCTCGGTCTCTCTGATAGTCGTTACACAACGCGATGTAAGATGAGTATTTCTCGATCGTACACTCAATTTAGCCTTTCGACGATCGATCCTCAAGGATTTGTTGCACCCGTTGCTTCAACATGAAGTGTCGCTCTTGTCTCCGCCCTCCATTTACGACACCTTCCTCCTCCCTTGGCACCCTTTTTTTTCCCTCCTCGCCTTCATCATTTTTTTTTCCCTTCATCTCGTTGTCGTTTTCTAACATCTCCGATTTCTTCTCCTAACCTTTCACCATGTTTTTCACCTAGGTTTGTTCTTTATCTTTCATTTTTATATTTTTTACCCTTCTCCATTCTAACTTCATGATCTCTCTATTTTGGTTGTGGATGTGGTTACTCTACGAGGGGCTTCATGATGAAGGTCTTACACCCTAGTAAGGGTGAGTTCACTGCGCTTCTACACCGAGTCTTGGATGAAGGTTCTCCCAAGACATATGGTTTACCTACCGTGGCTTTCGATTTTGGACACATCTTCTATGAATGAGTTTCAATTTCATAGCTCGATGATGTTCTGAAGGTTTTTCCGCCCTTCTTACTGTTTTATTTGAATGGTGATTCTTTGTCAGGTATCTCGCCTGTGCAGATTGGTCTGACCAGCTCATTGTCTTACCACCTCCTTCTACTGTCTCCTTTATTTTTTTTCGTTTCTCACTCACTTCTCTTGACCTTTTCTATCTTTGGAAATGATTTTCTAGAATGTAAGGTTGTTACCTTTTTTTTTCCTGGTTCCTCGCTGTAATCAAACTGGTGTATTTCCATCTCTGGAACTGTTATCAGTTAGTTTGTAGAACCCGTTGTCGAGCGCATTGGCTCCCGCTTTTTCACAAAAAACGAGATCCCTCCCGCCCATATCACGCAGGAGTTAAAGAAACCCTAAGAGACAACTTAAAGATGATGCATAGATAATCTCGCGGACCACTGAGATGGACGAGGTCATGTTGTCCCTTCGCCGCTCTAGCCGGGTGTGCCAACCGTACTTCCCACAGTCTCTTACAACATAATAGGTTTTTGTGAGGCACAACTTACCTTTCCTAAGGGGTTGTCACCACCCTTAGAGGTGTATCTCTACCGAGTTACTGACCCACATGCGAAAGTTTTTAGATGCAATTATAGAGGTAGGTCAGTCGAGGGCGTTTGCTCGTTCGCTGCAGTATAGGTACGCTTGTTTAAAATGCCAACTGGACCCAGACGTCGTTCGCTCCTTAGGGCGTTGAGCTCCTAAGTACGAAGTGCACGTCGGTCGACTAGTAAGACGGTCTCAATCAAGTGTGGAACCCACAACTCAATCCTAGCCCCTCAAACATATAACTCGAAAAAAATAATTACAATGATCGAATATAACTACAATGAAACAAATCGGCCGTAGTCGATAGAAACATACATCCAAGTGAACATTAGTTGAAACGATAACTGAAAAAAATAACTGAGCATAAGATGATGAAGTCAAAAATATAAGATTGAAACAAAACCGGTCACCTCGAGTCGAACTCAATAAGTAAAGTAATATACTAATCGCCAACGTTCTCCGTTGACTTTGACAATAACCTCGATGCAGCCGACAAGGGAGTCGGACTGCCTCATTTTTGACTCGATGAGACACACTGTCAAAATTATTCATTTCACCCTACCTACCACCGACCTAATATTAGGCACACACACACCCGTTTCCATATGTTTTTAATATTCTTGGATGACAGGCTGCTTTGCGGATGATTCTTGATCAGATGCGTTACTTGAAGTGTTGCATGTCCGAGAAGAACCCTATAAGGTCATTCGACATGCTGCCACAATAATCATCGTTTCCAAAAAAATATTGTTGCCTGATTTATCCACCCCTAGTCTGCACTTCTTGTGGTGCGAACCTCATCTCTGCAAGTAGCACCTACACGCGTCTATTTTATTTTAGCGGTCTTACGGACCGGGCTTCTTTTGGCTCCGGTCCGGCTAAAGTCGTGGCAACTAAATGCAGTCACCGGGGTAAACAACGTCAGCCTCCTCCTGTTCATGACGTAGAGAAAAAGTCGCCCCCACCCTTTGCCAAACCTCTTTGTTCAACTTTCCCCACCACTTACACCCCCCCCTTTATCTCGTTTGGTCCCCTCTTACCTCATTTCGTTATCCAACCCTCTAGGAAGTGGTCTGTGGATACTCCGTTCCCTCGCCCGAGCACAAGACTCGGATCTCAAAGGTTGGGCTGTCACCATTGAGTCGGCAAAGTACCACCCCCGACGAATTGAGTCCACTCCAAGTCGATATCAGGGCCGACTCCTAAAGCTTACGAGCCCCCGCTTTGGATGTTTCCTAGAGAGTGAGGCGATCAAACCCAAAGCGGAACCGTTCGTCCCTTCCTCCCGCACAATCAGGGAATTTAGACAAAAAGGAAAAAGGAAAATTGACAGGGTATCAGAATTTACCTCCTCCCTCACTTAGAGGACACCTATTTTTTTTCCTTCCAAATAATACACGCATGTGTACTTCTCCCTTCTTCTTTCTCTCCCACTTGGCTTGCGACTATCTATTCATCCACCATAGCCATCCTCACTTATACCTCCACACCTCGCTGATCACACAAAGTTTCAGCAATACTTCCCCCCTTCATTCCACTATGTAACTCCTACTTTGCGTCGTTTGCGAACCTTGTTGCGAAGCCCACACCAGTCACATTGTCGGGGCAGAAACCCTGACAAGGGTTTTTGCCCGATATTTTTGGAGGTCAGACGTTGTCCGACTTCTGTAAAACTTTTCAAATTCAAAGACTTGATGAGATTGACATTTGCCAAAAGTTTATTCAGACTAATCTATGACCGTGAGACAAACTTTTTTTAACCTTAGCCCGGATGCATGTGGCGTCCGAGAGTAACGACGGTGGTCTGCGATGTGGCCAGTTGTAATCCGTGTTGGTGAGGTTATTGGGATGTGGGACCGTTGGAATGCCAAGTCTTTTTTTTTTTTTTTTTTTTTTTTTTTGGAAACAAGCTCCATCTATTGGTGGGGAGCAGCACCTGCTGGAAACCGGGTCCAGCGTCCCATAGATACAACCATATCCTTYCTAATTGGCACAAACTGGGAACTGGGCCCAGCGTCCCATAACGAGTACGTACATAAAACTTCAGAAAACTTCATCAGACACTTCAAGAAAATGAGACAAGGAGCTACTAGAAAACTTTAGCTCGGAACTATTGGAGCTACTTCAGACATGTTTATGACAACTTCATGAAAAATTTCAGAAACGACTCGACTCGGTAAAAACCCCATCGATCCGCTTTGCCTCACTCCGGCAAGACTGACTGCAGCGGAGCCACCATCTCTACTGCTGCTATGCCATACTCCCATCCTACCAGCTAGCCCCCTCAGTGGTAGGACGCGTGATAACCCACCATCTTCTCCCACTCACCTTATTAACTCTTACCGTCGTTTCAGAAGCAAGAGAATAGGCCACAAAGGTCCTACGATTGTTCCAAAAACTTTGAAAACCCACACACACCCTTCCAACGTTCTCCAAAACTGTCATACACTTCTGCCACTCTCTTCCAGGTCTCACACCCCCACTTTCTGCTGGGTTACAGGGCAACGCAACTCACCCCAGCTCCGACCAGCGTCGTCCCGGCAGCAACCCTTAGTTGTCCCGTGGGAAGCCCCCCCAAGACCTCCCCAGATCTCTCTTCCAGACCTCACGCTCCTGCGTCGCAGGTTACAGGGCAACACCCCAGCTCCGGTCAGCGTCGTTCTGGCATCGAACAAACGCAGGTCTCGAGTACAACAGTGATGACGCCACGTAAGACAAGTTGGTGGGGATCCCTAAGTCCTAAAACCATCCTAGGACCACTAAGCACCCAAATCTCTTTAGGACCTTCAAAAAATGTTTTAAAAATTTAAGAACGGGCGGGGGCAAAACTAAAACTGCCAAGTCTAACTCCTACCCTACTTAAAATAAGGGCAGCCACATGATTCAGAGTCTATGTAGGCTTAAAAGAGCGACTGCGTCAGGTACAACATGATTCAGAGTCTATGTAGGCTTAAAAGAGCGACTGCGTCAGGTACGAAGTTGCGGCGCGGGAGGAATGAAAAACTTATGTATTTATTTATTAGGCCCGCGAAGTCTGATTCCACCAAGGGCCGAGGGGTCGGTGCTACGGCCTACCTGATTGGGTGACCATGCAAGCCGTGGTCGTGTGGCGAGTCGACGGGAAAAGGCCCAACAAGCAAGGCCTGCTAGGCCTCAAGCGGGCGAGGCCTGGTGGGCCACAGGCAGGAGGGGTGACTAGGGCAAAGTTCCTCATATAGAGGAGCTGCTGTTCCTACTTTCATGGTAGCAGTTAGCCTAGTAGGTAACATCCCAGACCCACAGGCAGGAGGGGTGACTACCTTCTTCCCCCGAATACAACGTACGGTCATTACAGCTGTATTTGATGCATCTTTCAGTCTAGATACAGCTATAATGACCGTACGTTGTATTCGGGGGAAGAAGGGTAGGGCAAAGCTCCTCATATAGAGGAGCTGCTGTTCCTACTTTCATGGTAGCAGTTAGCCTAGTAGGTAACTTCGCAGACCCTCCTCCTGTAGAAGCTGGGGTTGAATCCAGAATGCACAAAAACTGGGCTGGCTCCTTTTGCTAGTTCTTGCTAACGTAGCATAGCACGAACATAACACCACTGGGGCCAGACCCTTAGACCCGTAACGGATTTCCACTCGATCAAGCCGTCGTCACCCGAATAAAATGTACGGTCATTATAGCTCGATTTGAGCCGGGCCAATTCTCTGTCCTTAGATACATCACTGATTACCGTTTCTTGTATCCAGTTGAAGACTGGCTACCGGTAGTGAGCGGCGGAGGCAGGCCGAGCAAGACGAGGGGATCAGTGAATGGCCCATAGGATTACAAGTTGACGTCATCACCTACCAGTGAGCGCATTCATGTGAGGTCAAAGCCACGTGCACAAAATGCGCGCGCAGTTTTTCACAGCTACGTAATTTCGTGTTATGTCATTGCTGACTCAGCCGCCTGAGTGTTAGGGTGGTGTTCGATCGACCCATCACATTCTGATCAGGCCTCATGGCACGTGGGTATGCGTATATATTTTGTTTTCAACTGAGTGTCGCAGAAATAAATAGTCATTCTTTCTTTCCCGCCTAAGGGTTGTTGCTTCAGATCTGGGAAATCCAAGGCGGATGTCTTCTCTGTACTGTCGGGGATGTTGACACGTGCCACAACAAGGACGGGAAGGAGAGCTCGGTCTCCCATCAATGTACAGGAGCTGCGCCGAATGTCTGCCTCGCTGCTGCGTGCTCCCCTGCCCTGCATTTTTCCCGCCCTACGCTCTGCCCCTCGGTTACTCTCCTGTGCCCCCGCACTTGGCGGGGATATGTGGCGCCCTTGGAGGAGGAGAAGGAGGGGTAATTGGGCAATCTACTAAGTGAAGGAGAGAAACAAAGAAGATGGGGGCAGTGAGAAACACCATCTTGGGTCTGGCTGTCGTAGTCACCGGCTGGTCTATCATCCTGGGAACTCTGAAGGTTGCAGATCTGACCGTCGCTTCCCCCGAAACTGACGTCTACTATAGCTTCCCGCTTCGCTGGCGGGGGATTGGTCTCGAGGACTTCCCGACCGATGCTCTCGATATGGCGGCGGCGAAGGCATTCGACGGTCAAGAAACTACGGAAGAAATGGTCAACGGTCAAACTTCTAATCGCACGCGGAGTGCTGTGAACGACGGGCGGATCAACGGTCAAACTACGGGCGACAAAGTCAACGGCAGTAGTAGTGGCAGTGCCGCTGTCGGAGTCTTAGTAGCCACGACAGCAGCGGCTGAGCGGCGGCGCGGCGGCGCAGCGGCAGATACCCCGCCGCACCGCCGACGCACAGATGCAGTCATCAGACAGAAGAAGGAAGGAGATTCTGGTCTGCCGGTGCAGGAGGTGATCAGTATGCCATTGCTATTGACGGCAATAACAACGGCTGAGGGGGGGGGCTTCCCCTCGTTACCCTTTTCTTCACTCTCGCAAGCTCGTGTCTCCTCTGCCGAGCAAAGCCGTGTGGTTGGTCAACGACTCGGTGATCGTGACGGAGGTAATAATACCGTTGCCGTTGCCGTTGCCGTTGCCGTTGACGTTGAAGTTGACGTCAACGGCTCAGCAAAAGCAAAAACCAGCAAAGTGGTGGCCGAGGAGCAATCAGCGGGAGCAAATGGGCGGCAGCGGCGGGTGGGTCGCGGAGAGGGAGCCCTGTTGACGTCAACGCACGGTGCAGTCGATCAAGCAGAGAACAGGGGCATCGTTATCGCGAAGCCCAGCGGTGGCGCTGCAGGCCGCGGGAGTAAGGGAGACCTGGAGGAGGAGGGGGAGGAGGAGGGGGAGGAGGAAGGGGAGGATGAGGAAGAGGAGGAGGAGGAGGGTGAAGCTATCACCCTCGGGAATGAGACAAAAACCTCGGTGGTGATCAACGCGCATGCTCGTGATGGTCCTGTGGTCGTCGGCGAAGTGGTGAGGAACGAGCGGCCTCGAGAAGATGGCGATGGAGATGGAAAAATTGTTTACACTGTTGGCGGGGAGCTTCGACTTGAGGATGGTAGTAGTAACAGGATGCGCGAGGAAGTTGAGCGCAAAGTTGGGAGACGGAAGGTAGATGGTAGCACAGGGTTGGGCGGCAATGGAGGAGGAGGTCTCGGAGGAGACAAGATGAGGGAGGCACTGGCCAAGCCACCGAGGGGAAGGCGTTTCTCTGACTGGTGGGAGGAGGATTCGAGGCGTCAAAAGCGAAGCGGTGAATTGAGATTCAAAAGGGAGGAGGTGGAGGGGGTTGAGGGGGTGAAGGAGGGTGTCGAGGTGGCGCAGGAGGAGAAAGAAGGAGAAGAGAGAGAGCGAAGGATGCAGGAGAGCGAGGAGGGAGAGGAGGAGAAGAGGGAGGAGGAGGAGGAGGACGACGACGTGAAGGAGGCAGAGGAGAAGGAGGAGGGTCAGGGGCAGAGGCCACAAAAAGAGGACAACAATCGGAATGGAACGCAAGAGAATAGGGAGCCGCCCAGAGCGCAGGTGGATGTGAAACAGCCCTCAGTGCTCACAGGAGGAGAGAGTAGGAGCGGCATGCGTCTCAACCTGTCAGCTGACCAGGGAACCCCGGCACAAGGGGATGGCACCTGCTACGTAGAGCGCAAGGGATGGAGAGGGAAGAACGTGAGGATTCGAACAGACTGCTTGCCGCACGGTTTCTGCCATCAAGGTTCTTGCCACTGTGTGCAGGCGTATGGTTGCTGTCACCCTCTCCTACTACTTCTCCCGCCTTGTATGCTAGTAGCATCTGAAAAATTAGTGTGCTAGAAACAACCTTGCCAAAAGAAGAGAGGGTAATTACAGTAATTCGCTGCATCCCTCCGAATACAAAGGACGACTTGGCGCTTGCTTCTTTCCTGTCTCAGGAGGAACCCACGTCCACTAAAATGGACAAAGAGTGGGCAACACGAGAAAGGGAGGATGCGATCTGGTGCTCCGAGTTTTTTTTTTTTCTGGCGACCTTTCTCTTATGCCCCTGTGTTCGCTAAATTGCTACTATTTATAGTAACAAGCGGACCCGCCCCGGCGATGCCACGGCGGCCCAGTGGTGGGGATGAGAGGAAACGATGGGGGAGGAGCGGGACGGGGCATGCCCAACAAAATCTCTCTCTCTCTCTCTCTCTCTCTCTCTCTCTCTCTCTCTCTCTCTCTCTCTCTCTCTCTCTCTCTGTGGTTTATACGTCTCGTCGCACTGCCTCCGTCCGTATATCCCTCCACCCACCCTCCTGCTTATCAACTTGCAACTCTTAAAATAAAAAAATTAAAAAAAAATTAAAAAAATAAATATAAATAAAAAAAATTGCAACTCTCTCCCGTCCCGGCCTGTCCTGTTCGTCAGACCGCAACTCCCTCCCATCCTCCCTTCATCAGCATCACCCCGAGCTCTCCATACTATCCTCCCGCCCTGCTCGATGACGTTCTCTCTGCTTTCACTAAGACCATTGACCATGGTGCTCACCCCCTCTCAAGCTCTCGGGCAGGACAATTTATTCGAAGGAGGGAGCGGCGCGTGCACGTTACCCAGAGAAGCAGAAAAAGCTTTGTGGTCTCGAACGATTTACAAACAACTCATCGGCATGCGAACTTCTGAAAACAAAGTATCTCACCGGGCCCGGTTCCCGGCTTTTATAAAGACATTGTTCATGTGAAAAAAAAAAAAAAAAAAAAAAAAAGTTCTGAAAATTCAAGCCAACCTGCAGACCTAGCTCAGTTGGTACACCCCTTAACTGTTGAAATACAGAGCCAAGTTCGAATCCAGATACTATCAGATGAAAAGGGAAATGCAAGCCAGTCAATCCTGGAGAGGGGAGGGCTTTCATTGGGTCTCCCTCCACTACACTAGACTCTAGAAAATAGGGTCTCGCTCCACCACACTAGACTCTAGAAAAAAGTCTAGAGTCCGGTGAGTGTTGTCAGTCTCGTGAAAGTAGCAACAGAGTGAAAATAGCAAAAGAGTGAAAATAGCAAAAGAGTGGAAATAGCAAAAGAGTGGACTTCGCTCCACTTACACTAGAGGGCGTTGAGGGGGCTACACTCTACACGGTCTACAGTGGCCCGTTTCGACAAGGCTACACCGCCAGCCTGGTTTGTCCACCCAGACTCGCAGTCCACTCACGATTTTCAGCGCATTTAAGAGGAGAACCGAGGACCCTGGAGGACACGGGTGGTGCAGGCCGGGGAACTCTAGAGGACTCAAAAGTGGTTTTCGAGACTACTATCTGACAGCACTCGACACAGATCTTCAAGATGTTTCTCTAGTGCAAGTGGAGCGAGGCAGAACTCTCAAATTTTCGAGAGTCTAGTGTAGTTTAGCAAGGCCCATAGGGTCTCGCTCCACTACTGTAGATCCTCGAAGATCTTCGAGAGTGAGTCTAGAGCTGTCAGGCTCTAGAAACGACTGAAAAAACGAACATGGCTCCATTTACTCTAGACGGTTGAACTGGAGAAGGCCTCTCGGATATCAGACCGCTTTTCGAGAGAGCTACACAACATTTTTACTCTAGATGGTTGAACTCGAGAAGGCAGGCCTCTCGGATATCAGACCGCTTTTCGAGAGAGCTACACGACATTTTTACTCTAGATGGTTGAACTCGAGAAGGCCTCTCGGATGTCAGACGGCTTTTTGAGAGAGCTACACAACATGGCCAGCACGCGTTGTCTGCCCAGACTCCAGGTGCACTCTAAAAAAAGTGCTCAACTACTAAGGTCCTGGATGCCTCCCTTGAAATTCCCGCTGCTGCAGGCGGGCGCTCTTGAACCGTCAAGAGTGCCACGGGAGAGGAGGTTCTGACAACTAAAGAAAAGCATTTTTGTGAGTGCATTTCATGAGGTAGTGGAGCGAAGATGAGTGCAGACTGACAGCTCAAGAATCCGAATTCCAGACCTGGCGTCCAGAGTAAGTGGAGCGGTGCCGCACTCAAGAAATGGCCTGTTTCTAGAGTAGTGGAACAAGACCCATAGGGCCTCGCTGCACTACTCTAGACTCTTGAAATGTTTTGAGAGTTCGGCTAGCATTGTCAGAGAGGCGAGACTCTCGAAATACCCGCCTTCGCTGCACTTACTCTATAACCTATTACACTAGGTGAACTCTCGAAACCCTGGGCGTCGTCCTACTCTACAGAAGAGCTGCACCACTGCGCTACCGGACAAAGTCTGGCCGCCGGGACAGGAGGTTCACTCTCGAAAAACGAGCCTGTCGGCGGGCAACTCCCGAGGACACTTGCAAATTCAGTTTTTGCAGGCGGGGGACTCTCGACGTTTCCAGAGTTGCGTTATAGTGTGGCTTCTGACAGCTCTCGATCGGGTTTCGAGAGTTTCCCGATCGAGGTTTCGAGAGTTTCCCGATGGAGTTTCGTCGAGAGTAAGTGCAGTGATGACCCACTCTCGAAAATTTGAGAGTCTAGAGTAGTGCAGCGAGGCCCATAGTCTAGAGTCTGTCTAGAGTTGTCAGAGTCTAGAAAATAGCAAAAAACTCCGCCTCGCTCCACTTACACTAGAGGAGGCCTACTCTCAACGGACACTCTAACACTCGAAAGTCGTGTCTAGTGTAGTGGAGCGAGGAAACCACTAGCCAAATCTGCAAATTGAGAATGAATCTTGTGCTACAACATGGAGCACCTGAGAGTGCGGGTCTACCACACTTTCTGACAGCACTAGACACATTTTGGAGAGGTGAGTCTAGTGTAAGTGGAGCGAGGCACAACTCTCGATTTTTTGAGAGTCTAGTGCAGTGGAGCGAGACCCAATGATGGGCAAATTGCAGATATACTGGTTTTTAAATGTATCATAGCAACTTTATCGGTGCGCGCAGGTATTGTGGCTATTATACCGGTAAAGTTGCAGAAAAACCGTTTTTGGAAGGTTTCTGCGCAGATTTCGGGCCTAGTTGCACTACTCGCCATCCGCCACAGTTTGTGGCGGATTGGTGGAGAGTAAAAAATTGAGAATAGTGTCCAACTGGAGGCCTGGTTCAAAGGCTGGTTGCACTTAGAGGCTTGCCACACAGGCTGTGGCTGTCGACTGCTGTAAGAAAAAAAATTGAAAGTCGGCCGTTGACAGTTTACCGCCCACACAGGCTGTCGAGGGGCAAGGTTTTTGGTCATGGCCAAATGGACTCCGCCTTTCCACAGGGCACGGCCGTCAGGGAACAGTCCCTGACAAAACACAATTCTTGAAAGGCAGGTGGGGCACTTCCGAATTTCCGTCCGAATGGGGGAGGGTGGCTGTCGAGCGTACCGTTCTGACACCTGTTAAAAATTTTTGAGCCGCAATTCTTCAAAAGTCTGTCTGGGGATGCAAAATTGTAAAAAACCTGGTTTTTGACAGCCTGTATGGCAAGCCTCTTACTCTCCGCTATACTTCTTCTACAGAAAAGCTAAAAAAAATTGTCTGACTGATCTCCACTCGTGAAGGCGTGCACTCGCCAAGAAGTCGGTTTGTGGAGAGTTCCGAAGGACCACCCTCCACAAACCGTCGTGCACAGGCGGGGAAACCAAAAACACTCTCCACAACTTGTGTCGGCATTGTGGTGAGCCGTGCAACCAGGCACCTACTTGCCAAACTTGGCGTATGGCGAGTAGTGCAACCAGGCCCTTACCTGGGGTACCTGCTTCACAACTTGTGTAGGCGGTGTGGTGAGCCGTCTGACACATTTTTCATTCGCCAATGCCGAGTAGTGCAACCAGGCTCTTACCTGGGGTACCTGCTTCACAACTTGTGTCGGCGGTGTGGTGAGCCATCTGACACATTTTTCACATTTTTCATTCACCAGGCGCCTACTCGGTAAACTTGGCGTATGGCCAGTAGTGCAACCAGGCCCTTACCTGGGGTACCTGCTTTAGTAACAGAGGACCTGTCGGGCGGGCCTGAGGCAAGGGGTCCAAGGCCGATGGGTCCTCTGTTGCGTAAGGAGGTGCCGCACGGTGTATTTGCCGCGGAAACGTCACAAACCGGTATATCTGCATAGATACAAATCAAAAGAGGCATGGCTCCTCGAATACATGTGTTTGTCACCATACCTCCACGGACCGTTACAGTTGCTACCTTACGTTTAGAAACCGGTAAAGTTTGCTTAAACCACCAGTACTTGGCCCAGCTATTGGCCGCGGAAAATAATAGAATAGAAACGTTTCTAGTCGGATGAATTTGGGCGCTCCTGTAGTGGCCGGTACGTTTCCTAAAATCATGGCTTGTCAGCGGGCACGACTTTAGGACGTACTGGTGGTTTAACTGATTATTTGCTTGATTGCAGGCGGGGAAGGAAGAAGACGAGTGCCTGAAATGACTGGTTGACTGATTGATTGATTTGCATGAATTTGTCTGATCTGTTCCTCAGCATGATTTTACAAGAAAGTTTGATGGCTGATCTCATGAAGTGAACGCACGTCCTGTCAGATGTACCTGAGTTCTGGAGCGTGCATAATGGTCCTGATACATTTAAAATGTTCGATCAGTACTAATGCATCTCGTCCTTATTACATCGTAAATACATATACTACATATAGAATGTTGACTAGAGATGTAAGGGCTGCGAGGCCCAATGTCCGTATTTTTTGTATAAGTCATTGTTGCCATAGATATCGGCGCTGATGTCCATATCGGTATCAGTCATTGTTCACGGATGTACACGATTGTTGGTGGCTGTCATCGTTGATGGATGGATGTATCATAGTTGATGGATGGATGTATCATCGTTGATGGATGGATGTATATCATTGATCGTCGTCATCACCATCATCGTCACCATCATCATCACCATCATCATCACCATCATCATCACCATCATCATCACCATCATCATCACCATCATCATCACCATCATCATCACCATTGTCATGTCAGACTGCGCAGTTTTGTCAGATTTATGTTGCTACGATATACTGCAGCGACTGTTACTTGATGATGAAGAAAAGGGAAAAGAGGAAGCAAAAACGAAATGATTCAAATGAACGTTTTTGAAGGTTTTTCTTTTGTTCTACCTTTTGTTTTGGTCGCTGAGTGGTGGTATTTTATTGATTGGGTGGGGGATGGGGGGATTGTATAACAGCTACAAGGGAGAGGATTGCATGACACCGCGCAAGTTTCCCCTGAAGATGAGTAGCGAGTACAATGGTCGGCTGATATTAAGCCAGGAGCATGTGTTAGAAAAGAAGGGTGTGAACTTCCGGGCCAATCGCAAGAAGAGTGGAGTTGTTGAGCGAGTGTTTGCAAAGCTGCAACAGGCTGCAGATATGGAGGAAGAGGAGGACAAAGGAGTCAAGCAGGTGAACCAAACCCAATCCTTCGGTCACAGTGAGAACAATTCAACGATTGGCAAGAGGAGGCATGCAATCACACGGGAGCTCATGCAGCTTTTGCCGGAAGTCGACCCCTTGAGAAATGTGGTGTTCAATACGTGTGCAGTTGTTGGAAACTCAGGGCTGTCATTACTCTACAGAGAAGGGCGGAATATTGATAAACATGACATGGTCATCAGATTCAACAAGTAAGAAAAAGCATTTGCAAAACTCTCTTCCTTTTTTTTTTAATTTATTTTCATTGTTCTTCCTTTCTGTTGACGTAAAATGAAAAAAACATTGTCCTTTTTGCCTCTTGCCGTAGATAAGAAAAACTGTTCCTTTCTTTTGTGTGTGTGTTGTGTGTTGTTGTCTGTTGTCAGTGCTGGCCTTTTGTCTTGGTCATGCCGAACCGATCGGGATTTGAACCCTTTATCATGTGAGCCCGCTCATTTGCAAAATTGTCTTTCTCGCCTGTTGCGGTGACCTTAGAAGAAAACCCACTGCCCTTTTACAGTCTTTTTTGTTTTTCTTTGTTCCCCCCCCCC